GCCAGGCATATGAAACACACGTCCTAACCATTTTAATCGGTGCAACTTAACAGCGTCTAACTTAATTTCTATTTTTCAATATTTATGTTTCAAATTGTTGTGAAATTGACGTGCTACAGCCAGTTTATTTTCACTTAGCCTACCTATAAGAATGACTTGCCGAATGTTAATCAAACTCGGGCAAGAATACATCAGCACAAAGGTTATGCATAACGGATCGTATTGATTAGGAGTAGCCAATATATATAGACAAGAATTTCCTGAATAATTATAATAATAATAATATTAATCAAGTTTTCTAACAAAAATAATAATTTACATCGGTTGACTTATATTACAAATGAAAACGAAAACATGAAGAAAAAGAAATGCCGAAAACAGGTTAACGTGCAAAACAATAATTAATCATTCTATGACTTATTTATTTATATATATGTATGTATATAATATCGTCGGCTTGACATTGACTTAATTCACCGGTGATTAATTACGCCTTGTTGCGTTGTACGAACATAAACAATAGCTTTCCCTCTCTCTCTCTCACTCTTACACACACACACACACACACTTTAGGGGCATTTACGCTGTAACTGGCTCTTATTGTTGCCTAATATTCATAATTATTATTATTATTAAGTTATTGTGAGACAAGTGTGGACGAAACTTACACTCTGTTCGTTGATGTTTTGATAGTTAGCCTTTAAACGGCAAGGCAATTGTGTTTTCCACAAGAAATTGGATACCCTATACTCTGTGTTGACCACTTCAGTCATTTGACAGTTTGCAGCAGGTTCAATGGTTTGATAGCTGACGAAACTCTCGCAGTAGGATTTGTGAGCTTGCAGCGTCTCTGAAGTACAGGTGATATTAGGCTGGTTGTAAATCAAAGAACGTTTGAAATGCACGCTCTCTGTTACCTTTTATATCTATGCGATATGGTGGCCATTAATGGTGAAAGATATGCAAATGTTAATTGTCTTCGATTATAGGTGTCTGCATTCTATCTCCTGTGTTACGTGGTGTAACAAGGTGAGCGATATTTAAGTATGGAGTCGAGTTTTAGATGAGAAAGAGGGAGGCTGTAAAGCTACATCAAGTGAGATGGTTAGAATATGTGTTATTCATGACTAGTCATCGCCTTTCTCAACCGACTGAGATAGGATCAGGTTAAGAATGAGTTACTAGTGGACAAAACAAAATATAAAGTCTGTCCATGAAATCCCCGACCGTTTGTTCAAGACACATAGGGAGGTGTGAACTTTCAGGTTAATGTCCTCGGAGTTTTTAGAACCAATGGCTTGAAACAATAGTGATATGTCTACAATTCTCGGTCAATGGTGGAGATAGATTCACTCGCTGTGATTTGGCATATCCCATGAAACCCTATTATTTTTTCACGTCCCTATTCTTTCTCCTTCACATCGTAGCTTATTATTTTCTTTGGAATTTAAGATTTTTGCTATTTGTCGTCTCTGTTTTTATGCTACATGGGTTGTGGTAACTCAAAACGATGTCCTTCTTTACGAAGTCCCTCAACAGCTCCGTCTGCCTGCAGTTGAAACGCAGTCAGTATGTAAAGAAGGTTGCTCCCTTCAAATTTCTCCTATTCATGCTGATTGTTCTCTGTTATGGTTTCCGAAGCTGTTGCTTTTGGCCAGAAATCTTCATCACTACTGTTTTGCTCTGAGTCTGCCTGAAATTCTATCTCTGATACTTCGTCTGCCATCTTGTTGCCTTTCACTTGCACATCATCCAATTTTTTAGGAAATCGGCGAAATTCAGATCCTTCAAGCATTTTGTGAAAATTTATGCAAAGTCTTACGGAATAAGATATTGATACACAGCGATGTTCCTTTCCATAGTGGCATACTTATAAAGTGAAGCAAGAATGCTGTTATCATCTTCGATAATCAAAGATGACATTTTAATATGAAAGAAATTCCCACTTCACTCTGTAAATAATGAGTAGTATTCTACGTAAATACTGATTTTAATGCTAAATCACGTCTCTCTAAAAGATGCTTATTATTCTGTAATACTGTTTTACACAAGCTGCAATAAATTTTCATAAGAAGTATGAACCAATCTATGAAAATGTCATGAATGCTAAACTTTATTTCGTGATTATTCGTTACAAACATGGATCTGCATGAGGAAAAGCTAAATGAATGTTATTCATAGACCCACGAATAATTTCAATGAAGATAAGTAAGGAGAGTGAAATGACTCTTTTCTGTAATTTTTTCACCATACCACCACAATCTAAAGTAACATACAAAGTGATGTTGTTCTATGCCTCTATTTTATTTAGACTGACATTAATTAATCTTATTGTTCGTTGAAATTTGACTAGAAATGGAGCATAGGAAGCACATTTCGTCCTATTTACGACTTTACAGTTGTATGTTCTTTTAATATCCCGTGAGTGATGGGATTCCCCCTGAATCTTGAACCCAACATTCATTGTCTTAAACGGCGGGATTCATAAACATATTTGCGTTCAATTCCGCCTTCTGTTGTCTTCTACATCTGGCTCCTTCTCACACGATCTCCTCCAAATCACCCTTGGACACCCAAATTGCCGTCATCCATTGAAATTCCAATTGAGGATCTACCACGCGATATTATTTTATGACCCTCTAAAGTGTGCCTAATGCCTTGCTATTTCGTTCGACATTATTTTGCACAATAGGTTCATCACTGTTTTGTTCAAAGAGTTCCAATTTGTTTATCCTTTTTGGCTACTTCATCTCTAGAAAACCATCCAGAACAAGATGGAGTCAGTAGAAGCTAATCATTTGCAGAGTGAATAGCGACTGTATGCATCATTATCGAACAGAGCATATAGTTGCAGTCAAACCATTATTTCAAATTCATCGACTTCTAAAGCCTTTGAACAGCGTTGACTGGGAAGTTATTCGGGATTTGAGGATGACTTATGTTTAATCTAACAAAAACTCGAAGACCTACAGGTGAAAACCAATAAAAAACCAGAAGATTCAGTGACGGCATGACTTCAAATGAATATACAGAGGACTGAGGTGACTAAAAACCAACAAACAACAAGCCCCAATCACTATCAACAGAAGATATCTAAAAGGTGTCACTTTCTCTACTTATTTGGAAAGCTTTGATTCAACTATAGATGTCACGGATGAAAACGTCACAGACAGTCGGAAATTGAAAGGTGAAACAGACCTTCAACACTCTGAAATCAGTTTGAAAATATTTTGGGCTCTGCATAAACAGCAAAATCCATACTTTCAATGTCAATGTCAAGTTAGTCACTTCTTCTCTATGGATCAGAAAGTGTGCTCACGGGTCACGAAAAGCATCTTCAACAGGGAGTTTCATATTCCTAACAACGAGTGCCTTTAATTGTTCCACGCTGAAGATTAAATGGCTAGTCAGAATTGAATAGCAAGAAGAAACTCTGAAAACGATCTAAACAGGAACTTAATGTTTAACAAATAATTTGATGAAAAATGGAGGTGTATTGGACACATTCTGAAGTGATCGTTGGGTAACATCGTGTGTCAGGTCGTAAGGGAAACCTGAATGGGAAATGACTACTTCAGCGTCCAAGGGTGAAATGAAAGAGATCGTATAATGAGGAGATGAGACATTATGTTCACATTAGGTCAACATATAAGGATTGCAGAGAATAATACAAAGCGGTGATGTCCTGTTGAAGTCCTTTGTTCCACTGGGAACCCATAAGAATAATAACAATAATGGAGCGAAGGCAGCTGTGGGTAAAAGTCTGCAGTCTGTCGTGAATTCTATCTATGGCGTTCGCGGGCCAATCTCTGAACTATATAGAAGCGCAGATTTGACTTAATTGTTGAAAATTTGAAACTTGTTCCTTATGATGTGCGCTGTGGAGCAAAAAGCAGATTTCTGAGTAATGAATTCTCACCTTGCTTTCCTAGGCTGGATTTCATATCCATACCTGTGCTGCCTGCAGTCTGAAAACAGTGCTGTGCAGCTAATTGAATGGAGACGAATTCCTTATGGATTTCTTCCAATTTCTTAATTTTAATTCGCTGAAAATCTCGCCCCTGTCAGTTTATATTATAATGCTTATTTAAAAAGCATCGATTCAACCACAGATGGCCCAAAAGACGATGTTAGAGACAAGCCAGAATTGGAAAGACGAAACAGACCTTCATCATCCGGAAATCAGTTTGGAAATATTCTGGGCTCTGCATAAACAACAAAACTTGGACTTTCAATGCCAACGCCGAGTCACTCACTCACTTTATATGGATCAGTAACTAGGCTTACGCGTCACAAAAATCATTTCAGATAGTTCACTGTAGATTTTCATCAATAGCTGGCTTCGCTGGCCCTTAACTGAAAATAAGATGGTCAGTTTGAAGTGATTAGCAACAAGAAAATCTGGAAGCGATCTAACCAGGAACCTTCTGCCTAACAAATATGATGATGAAAATCGAGGCGTATCGGGCACACTCTGAAGTGATCGCTCGGTATAATCGCGTGCCAGGTCGCAAGGGAAACCTAGATGGGAGATGACTACTATTACAAGTAAAATGGACTGTAGAGAATAAACCAAAACAGAGGTGTGCTGTTAAAATCCTATATTCCACCTGGAACCCATGAGAATAATACTAGTAATGGAGCAAAGGCAGCTGTTGGTAAACGTCTGCAGTCTGTCAAGAACTCTTGCATGCCATATCTCTGAACTAAGTAAAAGCACAGACGACATTAGTGCTGGGAATCTATTTCTTGTCCCTTGTTCTGTGTGTTGTAAAAAGCAAAATACAGGTTTCTGAGTGATGAACTCCTACTTTGCCTTCCCAGGCTAGTTTCCATATCCTTCTCTGTGCCGCCTGGAGTCTAAGCAATCCTGTGCCATTAAGCGAATAGAGATAACCTTCTCATCGGTTTCATTCCACTTACCTTATCTCATTCACTAAAAATCTCACCCCTGTCAGTATGTATTATAAATGTTGTCTTCTTCCGCTTATATATTTCAGATTCTATTGGAATATTATCATGCTCATTTTGCTAATGGCTAATCTGATCATGTTGCCGGTGATTATCTCCTTTTTCAATGATGATCTACCTGGAAATTGGCTTATTTTCAACAGTATTTCAGATACTTTATTTATATTGGATATACTTGTGAACTTTCGTACTGGTAAGTTGAAAAACATTTGTCAGTTTAATACTTTTTGATATCTGTTTATTCTGTTAAAAAAATATCGAGATTTTGATTTCCATGTGGAATTTTCGGTCATTCAGCGATATCAGTTAAGAGATTCGTTAAAAATAAAGAAGTGTTGAATAGTTGCCTTCTTTCAGTTTGTGAATTTTTGGCAGTTCGAAGAAAACCAGCTCACTGACGAACAAAATCAAGCTAGATCTACATAACATCTACGTTTTGACCAAAATCTGTGCGTCGGTGGAACAGGGGTTACTGTGCGTCAGGCTGCCCAAATCGCACTTAATCAGTTGGCGATCAGTGTCTGTAGGTATGATATGTGTTTTGTGCCGTCTAAGTGCAAAGTACTGTTAAAAGACTACTCACTCTTGTTTGCACGTAAACCGCTTGAAGTTGTTGATACGTTTGTGTAACTGGATAGTTGGGTGAGCGCTGGTGTAGGGGTGATGGATGAGATTTCCAACCGTATAATGAAGGCTAGAGTGGTATACATCAACTTGAGCCACCTTTGGCGCCACATGGCTGTTAAAGGTCGGGTGTAGAATGCTTTGGTGCAGGCTGCCCTGCTCTACGCCTGTGAAACCTAGCCTCTTCGAGCTGAGGATGTGAGGCGACTCTGCGTGTTTGATCATCGCTGTCTCAGCAGGATTGCTTGCATTCGATGGCATGGGTTGGACATTTGCTGCGAATGTCATCCAAGAGGCTTCCATACAGGTCTTTGTTCGCTAGCCAGCCCTGGGACGGGATAGAAAAGGCGGAGAGGTGGTCAGTCCATGACGTGGCGTCCTGAGACGAAGGATTTTTGTGCTAGACTAGCATCGGTTGATGTATCACGACACCCTGGTTGGAGTCCGAGAGATAGCTCAAATCGATGCCTCGAAGCGTTATCGAATATGGCCAAGAATCGTAGTCAGTGGCGAACGTGTTGCAATTCCCTTCTTTCTTCCCTTCCCGATGATAGTTAACGAAAACTGTTTGAACTTGATAAGCATGACTGTTTTCTTTCCAGATGAAGTTCTTTATTCGTTCTCTACTTATATATATTTTTTCTCCTCTTTTTCTTTTGATCTATGTTGCTTTATTTTTATTGTGTGGCGTATCCTTCTTTGTGCCATATTGTGCCAAGTTTTTATGCTATGAAATAAATATATCAATACAGCGGTTAGGACTCTCGCCGACCATGCATATAGTGTAGGGTTCGACTCCCTGCCAACGCATACCTGATATCTATGGTCGGCCTGTAAAATTTTGGCTGCCAATACCACATGCTGAAAATTCCATACTTGTACGAAAAATATAGTGTGGAATCATACTGTAATCAAAACAGATAAAATAAAAATGAAATAAATTAGTTAAATTAGGGCTCAGTGTCTTTATTCCTTATTTATGTTAATTGCTGTGAGTGTTGTGATCCATTTGTTATAATGATGAAAACTGAGTCATTGTGATATGAATGCAGGAAGTTGATCCTTGCATCCTTTGGCTGTATGGCTTTCCGAAACCTCTTTTAGACATCCACAGTCACAAAGTGTTCCAAAAAAAGCAAAAACAACAACAAAATAATATAAAAAAGCTCAAAACTACCTCAACAGCACCTTTTGTTAGCTACACACACAGGGTAACTGTAAGAAGTACACCTTAGAATCAAGAAGATTATCCTAAACAAGGTGAGATCAAATCATTGAAGGCACCCATTGAGTCATGAAAGAAAGAAATGACAATCCATCGGCGGAGAAAATTTCATATATCGACGCAATCATCTTCAGAGGCTATACAGTCTTACTTATATTCACCAGACATGTATATTAGTCCATTATTGAGTAATTTGGGGGCGCTTGAAAAACTGATATAATTACTCAGAAGTGGCCTCAAAATTAAAAATAAAGGTTATACATATTACGTAATACCCAACGGCACAAAGGAAGAAAGCGCTAGAGATTTGATAAGGTTAAAACTGTTATTGAGTAATGACAAGAAAGCTTGTAGTTGAGTGTCCATTTAACAAGTGTAAAGAGGGTAAGAAAAATATACAAAAAGGAACATGTGAGAGTGACAACAGTGAATTAGTTAACGTAAAAGTAAACAAATCATCAAAAATTAAAAACTTTACAGAGAACGACAAATGAAGGGGTTAAGACCCTGGTAGAATAAAAGACCGGACAAACGTTTTCTCTATACATTGTTCGGAGTTGTATCGACGAATTACAAACGCCTCCACAATATGCAAATACCGAAACAAAACGCCCTTTGTACCATTTGGTCTCACGTTGGATAAAATCTTGAGAGACAACTTTGGTGGAGCTGCATGGCTTGAGATCACCAAGCGCTCGAGAATTGAGCTAGTAACTGTCTTGCACCTCAACATTATAGACTTTGAGAAGGACTTCGACAGACAGTGTTGACCGCGAAGTAATTTGGAAACTACTCGAGTACTACGGCGTATCCCGAACATTCATCAACCTTATTCAACTGCTGTACGACAACGGCACATGTCAAGTGATCCACAACGGAAAACTCAGCAAGGCGTTTGGAATAAACACAGGAGTCAGACAAGGGTGCTGGCTTATTATCACTAATGATATTCCTAATTGTGGTGGACTCACTGGATTATGCATCAGGCAGTGGGAAACGAAAGAGGGCAGGAATATCCTGGACCAATGCGAAGAACAAAGAAGACCTGGATTTCGCGCGTGGATGATTTATGTTTGATGTCACACACAATTGAAGGCTTTCAAGCGAAAACCGACAAACTGGTCGAAGAAGCATCCGGCGAAGACAGGACTCCAGGTAAACATAGACAAGACGGAGGTTTTGGTAATAACCAACCAACCAACAACAACAGCAACATCCAGCGTCAATCACCATCAACGGGAGGGATTTGAAAGAGGTTACTTCATTCACTCACTTATCTGGGGAACATCACCTCAATTACAGGCAGTCGGAACGGACGAGGATGTCAAATCGAGCGAGAATCAGGAAACCGAGAAACACACACATTCATCAACCTGAAATCAATCTGGAAATCTCCGTCACTCAACTCAGCATCAACAATAAAATTCAGACCGATTTTCAATACAAACAGCGTCAAGTCAGTCAGTTCTTCTATACGGATCAGAAACTTGGCGGGCGGGTCACAAAGAATATTTCCAACAGGCTAATGCAGACATTCATCAACAACTGTCTTCGCTTTTTACTGAAGATCAGATGGCTGGGCCCGAAAGAATCACCAACAAGGAATTATGGGAACAAACAAAGCAAGAACCAATCGCCAACCAACAAATATGCAGGAGAAAGTTGAAATGAATTGGACACTTGCTGAGGAGGCCACTAGGTGACATCGCGCGCGTCAGGCCATTGCTCGAGTGAACCTCGAAAGGGAAGCAGCCAGTGGGACGTCAGTGCAAGGATGACATGGAGGAGATCGTGTAAAGAGGAGTTGAAACAGTATGGACTAACTAACATGGATGCAGGCAAAAAGTACAGCAGAGGACAGAAGAAAATGGAGACGTGCAGTTGAAGCCCTATGTTCCACTAGGAACCCAAGGGAGCAATAATAATAACTGTCTTGCATTCTCTTTTTTGCTAACCAACCATGCCGGATAAGATTCAGACATGCATGTGGAAAGTGTACACTTTGTGCAGCTAATATAAGGTGTGAAAAAGCACACTATCCACAAGAAAAGCACACCAACAACACCCCAAGTTATCAGAATCCCTCTGGTTCACTCCAAACAAAAAAATCACGTATTAAAACAACACATTATCACTATATCATACAATCACCAAGAAGAGAAGCATTATAAAAAGAGATTAAACATTGACAAAGACAAATGATAAGGATCGAGTGAACATGTGATATGCGAAAAAGACAGAATTATGATATACAGTCTTAAGAAAAAAAAATACTTAAAGCATCCGAATTAAGTATAATAAATCTATAATGTTAAGATCATTTACGAGGGAATTTTTAAAAAAGCTATCCCGTTACAAAGCTGATCGCTAGTATCAGGCCATGAGTGTAACGCGTGTGAACTAAGTTTCTCAACCAATTTCAAACACCGCTTTATACGCATATATATATATATATATATTCTGACATACAATTTACAAGTAATATTCACGATCATTTTCTCGTGATTTAACAAAATAGGCGCCAAAATGTAGCGTTTTTCACATTCAAACTTCTTTTTTCTTTTGGTTTTATTGTCTTTCTTTTTTGGTGTTTATGTGTATGTAAACGTTTCCGTGTCCATGTGCGTGTATTTTGACGCTTAATTTGTAGTAGTTACAATCGCCAGAAAAAGGATGCCTCTTTTAGTGTGCATCTAAATATTCATCCATCATTCTAAAGCTGAATACATCTGGTATGCCAACCCCATTTGGGATCTAAAAAGAAGAATTATGCGTGGAATAATCTGAGAAATCTTGTTGTTATCCAAAGAACTAAAATCTTTAAAATATATTCGAGAGAAAAATCTTTTTTTTTTCATTCATCTTACTGATGTACACAATTAAAATTAAAACATTTGGTGAACTGAAGGAAAGATCATTTGATGACGATAAACAGTCATAATTAAATTTCTGCAATGTTCTGAGGAAAAACTGATAAGCTGCTTGAAGATGCATGTAGAATGTGTTTGATAAACGTTTAGTAACAGAAGACGGTGAGATTTTAACCTCTTAGCCCGTATGAAATACATCCGACTTTTTTGATTGGACAATAGTCAGTAACTAGTGTAATGTGTGTAGTTCAACCTCTGGTGCACACTGAATTCTATCAGTTAAATTTCCGATGTAATCACTATCCTAGGTGGCTCCGCGCGCTTTGAAGTGTTGATATTAGATGGTCGGAGGCAACTGGAAACGAATATCTGCAACATTAAAGAAATTCACGTCTTTTCTGAGATTTAAACCTGCATAGCCCACTGCCACCTGCAGTCGGAGACGTTACCGCCGAGCTATTCAGGCTAGCGATT